AAGGAAGTCAACCATCGATATGGTCTTTTACATTCATAGGAATTTCAATAGCATATTAGATTATGGATGAGGTCATTATTATTATCATGAAGTATTGCATTTATTTGACATTCATTGATATTATTATTTATAGGTTTTATTGCATTGGTAAAATTTAGTTGACATGGTTACCATGAAAAACCTATAGGAAATATCCTAGGAACCAAATTTCATTTTCTTATTAATAATTTTTCTCACGAGGCATAAATGCCACTTCCTTGGTGTAACACATTGGTAAATTTAGACTTTATGTGTGTAAGCATTTTTCATTGATTTCACTAGTTGACATTTGTTTACAACATTTGGTTGCTTGAATCTTTTAAAGTTACACATTTGTTTACAACAAGAGAGTGTTTTAGTACACCAAATATTGCAAGACCTTTAAAAAGGTTTACAAGTTCTACAAATGTGCAAATATTGTTCAAGTTACTCTTAAAGTTTGTCACAATTATCACAAAGATTTATCAAATGTACTTAAATTCTCGCACTTTAAAATAAATGTTAAGACCGATGTTCCAACACCAAAGCATAATGTCAAGACAGATGTTAAGATATCATCTGTTGATAGAACAATTTTACCAAAACAAAAATTATGTAGAATTAGATTGCTTAAGATAAAAGACACAACCAATTGTTAACCCAGTTCAGTGCAATATCACTTACTCTGGGGGCTACCAAGCCAGGGACGAAATCCACTATAATAGTATTAGTTAAAAGCCTAAACAATCCCAATTTATAACCTAGCACCTAATCATTGTCTTAAGCAATTTCTACCTAGGAACCTCCTACATATGAGAACTCCTCTCACTTCCCACAATCACCTCAGTAATAAAACCAGTCACAAACCAGTGACCAGAACCAAAGTAGAAGATTACACTTCCAATAAACAATACTAACTCTTTGCTTAAAAGTCTCAGATTTAGATTCATCTTCTGACTCATCATTATAAGCTTCTGCAATTGGGCTTGGACTGGCTTGAATTCTTCAATCAACTCCAATCTTCAGCTGAGAAATATTTGCAAAATATTATCCACAAAAATAAAAACAATTTTCATAAATAGTTTCCTAAAAAGTCTCAATCGGTCCTTTTTAGTAACCAATCAAATCTACACATGTTTCTAACAAAATCGTTGATTGGCCTGCGCATATAATGAGTACAGAATATTCTAGATACTCCTATCTTCAAATCAAATCTTTAAGAATATCTAAAAGCAGCGCTTGCTGCATCAGCCTCGGGATGTCACAACATCTTCTGTGACATCTGGCAAAACTCATAATAGCAAAACCTGTTATGACAATTGATAAAGATGTTGCACCATCTTACTCAACACCAACATAGAACCATACTTAGCTAAAATTTATCCAACCATGAGGGGTGAGAATAGGCCAGGCCAACTAACAGAGGCCTACGATCTAGCCTACATAGGCAAAGGCCAGGCCAAGCTTTTTTTTTTAAGTAGAAAAGGTCAAGGTTTTTTTAGAAGCCTATTTATTTAAATATGCTAGGCCACATGCCACAAAAAAAGCCTCTTAGACCTATCAAGCCGGCCTATTTTAATAAATATGAATAGATTTATTATTTTTTATATTGTATTTTATACTTTATATTGAAATACAAAAGTAAAGCTCACTGGTCTTGAAGAACTTGTAAAATAAGTTGAAAAAATATGATGAATAATGTCATAAGTTGTTTTCATAATTCTCTAAAACAAATAAGCTCACAAAACTTATGCTCCAATGTAAGCTAAAATAAATCAATGCAAATAAACGTTTAATCTCATTGTAATTTTAACGATCGAGTCTATTTAGGTATTAGTTGTATTTATTATTTAATATTTTCAAATTGTATAGGTTTTTTAAGTAGACTAATAGGCTAATTAAGCCTTCTAAAAGACCAGGCCCAGGTTGAAAAATAAGCCTTTGATAGGCCACAGGGAAGGCTAAGGCTTTGATTTTTTTAGTAGGCCAGACTTAGGCTTGGCAAAGCCTAGCTCGGCCCAGGCTATTTCCACTCCTACCAACCATAGAACCATGGAACTAACACCGCCTCATGCACATGATGCATTCGGAAGGGTTTTTAGGTAGACCACTCTGAAGTGGAAAAAATATCTCCAAGAACCCTCTTAAGGGATTTTAGGTATGGAAGAAGTTTGAAGTGTGAAAGAGATAATCATGCAAGGTGGTCATATATTCAATTTTCTGCTGGAAGTTTTCAGAGATACATCTCCGAAAATATCAGTGAGTGGTAAAATAATAAATCATCTAAATGAAACTGGTGGAAAATGGTTTCATGGGTATGTTCAAATGTATATGCAAATTAATCTCAGAAAAATTTGCAGTTGCATCTTCAAACTAAATTTTAGTAAAAAATGATATTTAGTGCGTTCGAAAATATATCTTCGAATAAACCCAAAGATATTTTGGAATTTTCAGACCAAAGGTGGGAAAATAAATTTCCAATAATTAATGCCAAACACAAGAGAAATTAACTTGCCACCCCCATATTATACATGACACCCCCCAAATGGTATGAAAAGACTAAAATGCCCAAACCCAAATTATTCACCATAAATTCCAAATTCACGTTACCAACTGAATTTTTCAAATTTTTGGGTAATACCAGAAATTTCATGAACAAGTGAGAATTTACGGTAGATTTGTGAAATTTTCGGTATTTTGTACCGGAAATTTCAAAATATATGGTATTTTCGTACCAAAAGTTTCAAAATATCCAGTATTTTCATTTACCATTTATACTGGAAATTTTGAAATTTCCGGTACGCCACAAAATACCGGAAATTTTGAAATTTTTGATAGTTCAATTTTTTTTTGAAAAATACTGGAAATTTAGAAATTTCCGGTAGTTTATATTTTCCTGATATTTTCTTATTTTATAGTGAGGACCAGAGACAAAGATGGTTCTATTGTGAGACGAACCACTGATAGAGCTAATGTTGAAGCCTGTGCTGACGAGGCACAAGCTTCAGAGCTACGGGCTGGACGCCTTCCCCCGACCGGTTCTCACCGAAAATAGATGACTGAGTAGAATGTACAGTTTCGCGCACCCCATCGTCGTGGTCTTAGAGTATCCACTGTTGAGGAGGTACATGCTCTTACAGAGGAGGTATAGGCTCCTACTGAGGAGGTGCAGGCTCTTACTAAGGAGGTATAAGATCATGTTCCTATTGTGGAGCCTGTAACTGAGGAGCATATTGTAGAGCCTGTTGTGCAAGAGGCTTAGCAAGAGGTTATTACTGAGCAAGTTGATGAGGTGTCTTCTATTGATACAGACACTATGATTCGTGCATCTACAAAGTCATCAGGACACACTGATGAAGGTTTCCCTAGAGGACCTTTAGACAAGTCCATGCTGGCAGGATTTATGCACCATGTCGCTTATAGGATATGGCATGACGAGGATATGACTGGATGCAACATCTGATGTTCCGGGGCCTTCTGGTGCTAGCCCATCTATCGAGCCACCACCACCACCATCTGCAGGTGATCAGGACAACCACCTCTAGTTTATTGCAGTTCATGCTGAGAGTCTCATGGGTTTAGTAAACCCAGATGGTGAGATTTATAGAGGTTTAGCTAGGCTAGTCGACGTAGCCTGTGAGGGGCCTATGTAGATCTATTTTATTTTGGTTGTATTGTATGTGTATTTTGTGACAAACAAACTTCTTATTTATTGTATAATATTTTGGTGAGTACATGTTTCAAACTGATGATGAACATAATATAAAACAGTACAATAAACATAAACCAAAAACAACTAAAGAAGAAAACCTAGGCACTACCAAATGATTATGGACGTTTAGCATCTTCATTTTATCGTCGACGGATCTTCGGATCTGTGCATCCAACTCGATCAAACCTTTAGTTATCCTACGACGAAATGATTTCCACATGGCCTTCACATCTTCATCATTCTTCAACTCGATTAGGTTGTATTTCACCCTTTCATTTGTATCAATCCAATCCTTCTGAAACTCTACCTCTGTCACCCTTCTGTTATTGGAATCAGGCATCGAATTATTCAATGTTTCTTTCAAGGTGGCAAAGAATTCAGAGTCATCTGGAAGCTTGAATTCAACATGAGGGTTGTTGCCATTGTAATACACTTCTGCCTTAATCAGAAATTGAGGAAGATACATTTTATTGAGATGTATTTTCTCTATAACAAATGCCCATATTTATACAAATGGTGATGCATTTTAGACCAGACAAATATGTCGGTGCAATCAGAACCATCAAAATATGTCGGTAAAATCTAAGTTGTTTAAAAAACCATGTTTTTATAATTACCAGAAATTTCAAATTAACTGAAATTTTTGGTACACTGGAAATTTTAAATATGCTACCAGAAAATTATGGTACCGTAAATGTTATAGGGGTGTATCAGAAATTTGGATGGTACCGAAAATTTCAATTCTTCTATCGAAAATAATGTACATCTCATCCAAAAATAAAAGTAGAATAAAAAAATTGAGGGGATGACATGTTTAATTTAGGGTGTAGCATGTTAAAACACATAGGGATATCTATCTAAGTCCGATCTAATTCACGTTGAAAAAGCCCATCGATCAAAACGAAGCCACTTTCCAAAGCCCAAAAGCGATTCCAGTCTGAAACAATCGACTAGCAGCAACAAGAGACTTCCGTCGCGCTCAGCACCCTCACTCCGCCGTAAACGAATCTCTGTCGTCGGCGCATCTGAACTCTTTTCACTCGGCCGAGTAGTTCATCCTCCTCACCACAACTCACTCTTCTCCAAAACCTAAAATGTTTGCGTCGTACTAAACTCACCTCAATCTGTCGCTAACTGCCCAAAACCCTGAGAAACTCTTCCAGGTTTTTCCTCTTTTCATTCACCTCTTTCGAATTTTCATTCCCCTCTCTATTTTATTGCTTATAATTTGTTTAGTGAATATTGTTTGATAGATTTTTCATACAAATCAATGGCTTATAGACGTTGCCTCTTGCAAAGAGGAAGCAACCTCATAGATCGTAGGTGTCACCCTTCCTTCAGCTATGTTCTCCATAGCGACGACGCGAAACGCGATCAACCAGACGATAAACCGTCTTTGGCTGGAATCAGTAATAGTTTTATTCAAACAAGGTCCTTTGGAAGCTCTTTTAATGGATCAATGGGTTTTTTCTCGGGTTTTCGACATAAGGAACTTTATCCATTTGCTGGATATAGTTTCTGCCGGAATATGTCGACGATGGATCAGAATTCGGATAAGATTACAGTAATGACGGATGTGGCTGATGTTCTCACTGACACTGCTATGGAGACTGTAACTTCTCAGGCGGCTCCAGTTGTTAGCGAAGTTGCCATTGCTGCGGCTGATTCTTATTTGCCTGTACAAGCTTTACAGTATTTCATAGATGCTGTTCATTCCTACACTGGGCTAAACTGGTGAGTTCACATATATAGTTTGATTAAGATATATTAAATACTAATAGACAGTTAGGATAAACATTTTAATTAAGTGTCTGCGACATAAGTGCATATTATATGAGTGTTTATGTATAAGCTTTTCTATTATGCAAGATAAAATTAAGTCAAACTGTTTTTAGGGAATGCCACAATAGTTCAGAATTGATAATTTCTGTTGTGTGATATTTGGCTTTTACTAGGGATATGGATTTCGATAATCAGCTCTCTTTGTCAGTTTATCACCAAGTGTTACGTATTATTTGTTAGGAATAGGTAACAGAGTTAACGATTTGGATAGAAACATGGTCCTGGTTAGAACATTATGGCGAAAGTTGATTCATGTAGCCGATCCCACTTAGTGGGATAAGGCTTGGTTGTTGCTGTACTATCCATATTGGAGTCTTAGACTTTATTTTAGGACTTTCTACCTTTTATAAAGAGTGTCTGTAGGGAGTAGAAGCGCTTGATTTTATATATAATGTAGCAACTAAACCTGAAAGATTTGTAAGTTTGTAATTTTATTGGGACTACAAATTGTAGAAGTACTAAACTTTTAATCCTTAAAAATTTAAATGCCACATGAATTTTGAAAGGAAACTTTTCATCTCATTGCTTCTTTTTTATTAGGTGGGCGGCCATAGCTCTGACGACTCTCTTGATTCGAACCGCAACTGTTCCACTCTTAATAAATCAACTCAAGACCACTTCTAAGCTTACGGTATGTTGTGCTGCTTTGTTTTCATGCCTGTTTCATGCTATAAGTGTAGTAATGACTATGGGTATTGCTTGGCTCCTTCCTCCGTAGTTGTTCTGTTTCAAGAGGATACAAATTAGATATTTGGAGTGAAATCCCAACCCCCCACCCCACCCACCCACCTTTCCTTGTGTCTCTGGCATGGGTTGGAGGTTTTATTCGCTCACTTCACTATTTTTTTTTATCCCTTTTGAATGAAGGCCTCAATATTTGTTGTATATATGAACTTTTTCTATATCATTATTTATCTTATTATACCTAAGCTTACTGTTTCTCGTGTGTTGCAGCTTATGAGGCCTCACTTGGAAGCAATAAAGGAAGAGATGGATGGGAAGGTAATTGTGCTCTAGTTCATCATGTCATTTCTTAATACCATTAATAGTGGATAAAATGCTTGGCAATAATATTGTTATGCATGTAAGTTAAGAAGCTGGAGTCTCACAAGTTCTATTGTCCTATATCTTGGAATTTTAGTATCGATATATTTTCTTTTGGAATTTTTTTTTAAGTTCACTGGTTAATTGTCTAACCTGTTGATCTATGTCATTGGTAAAACATATAGGAATCAAAATAAATATTTCCACTTAAGTAATCTCATTTTATATCAATTCATAGTGAATGTGTGACTAAGTTCTATTGTATCGGAGGAGCAGCTAAAATGTGATAGAAACCTGATCCCTGTGGTACTGGTTCTGTCACGACCTGATCATAGGCCATGACCACCACATATGCTAACACCAACTCATCATATATTTAACCTAGCAAGCCAAATGTAACCCACACACCTTTATAAAAATATAGTTACTGAAACTTGACAGTGTCTCATCTATTTTTGTGACATCCTCAAATGCTAATTAACTATCAACAGAGTATACAAAACTATCTCATCATATGTACAACTCAAAAGAGAATAATAACTCCTATTCCTGTAGTTGCATCATATTAAGATCACAATATAGTGGCCACCATTAAAGAAAGCGGTCTGTCACAAAGAATAACTCTTAGGTAGATTGCGAACCCCGAGAGATTTCTATTCTACAGCCTGTGAATATAAAAAGATAAGAGAAAGGGGTGAGTCACAAAGATTCAATGAGAGAGTATAATAAACAAAGTGTGTTGGTTTGAATATGGGGTAATTGTCTAGAAGGGGAGTTGAATAGACCATAGTTACCTGGTTCGCAATTCGCTTTGGTACGCAGTACGAATTCGGGTACGCGGTATGCAACTCTTGAAGTATTCGGTACGTAGGGGGCATACATAGTCGGTACGTAATCGTTACGCTATCAATATTTTTATAAGATGTAAAGAGTAGAGTATTTTGTTAGAGTAGCTTTAAGCATAAACTTTAAAAAAATTATGTCCCATGTCGGAAGTGACTAAAACAGTTAAGAAGATTGCTATAAAAAAAGAGTACACATGCACTAGTAATTCAAAGCTGAGATTGAGGACTAAAATGCCAAGTCAAATACTCTTCTCTTTCATTTATGATCAGCTAGCTCCTTTGTGAAGGATGAGTGGGTCCCAATTTATTAGGCGAATGAATAAAACCGTGAATTGGTATGCACGAATTGGTATGCGGTTCACAACCATTTTGGCGAATTATGTGACTATGGAATAGACAACTAAAAATTCCATTCTTTTCATTTTAGAAAATCAGATTAACGCACGAAGCAAATTTGGTTAAAACTTGTTTTTAAAGGTTTTAGCATTTGGAAGATGATTGTAGTAATGCACACACACACCTGTGAATTGGAATAAGGTGATAGACAATATGGTAAATAATCCTTTTAATGCTTCAAACAAGGTATTTGATACTATTGAATTAGGAGAGACTAAGAGATATTTAGATTAAATCGTTTGTCATGAAAGCACTACGGAGACTTTATTATATATAGAGATATTACAACTAATTACACTGTATAATCGATGTGGGACTATTCTACATACAAATATTCTTAACATTATATATTTACAAATATCAACACTCCCCCTCAAGCTGGAGCATATAAGTCAAATGCACCAAACTTGCCACATATATAATTAGTTCTGGGGCTTCGCAGAAATTTTGTAAACACATCTGCCAATTGATCATTAGAGTTGACAAAGCTTGTGACGATGTCGTCAGATTCGATCTTCTCTCTGACAAAGTGACAGTTTATCTCAATATGTTTGGTCCTCTCATGGAAGACTGGATTTGAAGCAATGTTCAATGCAACTTGATTATCACATACAAGTTTCATTGGTCTTGCTTCTTCAATTTTAAGTTCTTTGAGCAACTGTTTTAACCAAATGAGTTCACATGTTGCCATTGCCACGTCCCTATAACTCTGCCTCGGCGCTTGATCTTGCAACTACATTTTGTTTCTTACTTTTCCATGATATAAGGTTTCCTCCAACAAGTACACAATATCCAGAGGTGGATCATCTATCAATTGGTGACTCTGCCCAATCAGCATCAGAGTATCCAACTATCTGAGTATGTCCTTTATCTTCGTACACTAAACCTTTTCTTGGAGCACATTTGATGTATCTTAGAATCCGGATAACAACATCCATGTGTTCCTGACAAGGAAAATTTAAGAACTGACTTACCACACTGACTGCAAAAGAAATGTTTGAACGAGTTACTGTGAGATAATTCAACTTTCCAACCAATCTCCTATACCTTCCCGAGTCTGATAGAGGCTCCCCCTGATTGGATAGTAGTTTGACACTTGGATCCATAGGAGTATCAACTGGTTTAGCATTTAATAAACCTGTTTCTTCCAAAATATCCATAGCATGTTTCCGCTGGGAAATCACCAAACCATCTTTAGATTGGGCTACCTCAATACCCAAGAAATACCGGAGTTTACCAAGATCCTTTGTTTGAAATTGATTTGAAAGATGTTTCAACTGGAGTATTCCCGACTCATCACTACCAATTATGACAATATCATCTACATACACAGTAAGATAAATACACCCTTGGACTGAGTGACGATAGAAGACAGAATGGTTAGCTTCACTACGGACCATACCAAATTGTTGTACTACAGTGCTGAATCTGCCAAACCAAGCTCTCAGAGATTGCTTAAGACCATAAAGAGACCTGTGTAGCCTACAAACCATATTCGATGACTCTCCCTGAGCAACAAACCCATGTGGTTGCTCCATATATACTTCCTCTTCAAGATCACCATGTAAAAATGCATTTTTGATGTCAAGTTGATGAAGAGGCCAATGTCAAATGGCTGCAATGGCTAGAAGAAGTCTAACAGATGCCATCTTGGCTACAGGCGAGAAGGTATTACTATAATCCAACCCAAAAATCTGAGTGTATCTCCTGGCTACTAAGCGAGCTTTAAAAACGATCAATCTTACCATCTGGACCAACCTTCACTGTATAAAGCCAACGACAACCTACTAAAGATTTTTCAGTGGATAGAGGAACCAGTTCCCAGGTACCACTGCTTTGAAGAGCACACATTTCATCAATCATTGCTTGCCTCCACTCAGGGTGAGATAATGCTTCACCTAGAGATTTAGAAATAGAAACAGAAGACAAAGAGGACAAACAAGTATACTGCAAAGGGGAAAGACGATGATAACATAAATCAATATAATGTGGAGAAGGATTTCGTGTTTGACGTATACCTTTGCGAAGGACAATCGGAAGATCAGACTCAGGTTGCAGGATCAAATCCGGTGATGGCGATAGCGTCGGAGGAGAGTCTGCAATGACCTCAGGGACAGGTACGACCTCAGGGACATGTACAACCTCAGGGACAGGTATGACAAACGTTGGTTTACGACGCTGATATGTTTGAAGTGGGCGAGAAGTGGCGGGGTCAACCGTAGGGGTTTCTCGTGGGACAGGTTCCCTAGAATGATGGGGAATAATGAGAAATGGGACGTCCGGAAGAAGTGTGGGAGTATTTTCCTGAAGGGGTTACAAAGTGACTTGGGTGGACGCAAAATATGACACAGACTCGAAGAAGGTAACATCGGCCGATATCAGGTATCGTTGCAGAGTGTGTGAGTAGCAACGATAATCCTTTTGGGATAAATGATAACCAAGAAAGACACACTTTAGTGATCGAGCTGTTAGTTTATCAAGACTAGGGGGGAGATTATGCACAAAACATGTAGACCCGAAGACTCGAGGAGGAATTGGGTGAAGAGGAGAGTTTGGAAACAAGATTGAATGAGGGATTTTATGTTTAAGGATAGATGAGGGCATGCGATTTATGAGATAACACGCCGTGAGCACAACATTCCCCCAAAATCTGAGAGGGACATTACCATGGAGAAGTAGAGTCCGAGTGGTTTCTACGAGATGCCGGTTTTTGCGTTCGGCTATCCCGTTTTGTTGAGGTGTATGAGGGCAAGATGTTTGGTGTAGAATACCATTGGATGACATAAAAGTTTGAAATTGTTGGGATAAATATTCACGTGCATTGTCACTTCTTAAGGTACGAATGGACAAACCAAATTGGGTTCTTATTTCTCGATAAAATTGTTCAAAAATAGAAAACAATTCAGATATGTTTTTCATTAAAAATAGCCATGTGCAACGTGAAAAATCATCAATAAATGTTACAAAATACCTAGACTCAAAAGTAGACACAGTACGCGATGGACCCCAAACATCGGAGTGAACTAAAGCAAAAGGGGACGCAACCCGTTTATTGACTCGATCAGAAAAGTGACTACGAGTATGTTTCCCTAATTGACAAGACTCACACTGTAAAGTGGATAATTTAGATAAACTGGACACCAACTTTTGTAGCTTGGGAAGACTTGAATGACCTAACTGCGCATGTATAATGATTGAAGAATCTGTGGTGGAGCATGTGGTAGATGACGTAGAGAAGTAGTAGAGGCCTTGAGACTCACATCCGACGCCAATCGTCTATCCCGAACTTCGATCCTGCAGAATAACATCACTTAGTAAAAGTGATAGAACAATTAAGGGAACGAGTTAAACGACTGACTGACAGTAGATTAAATGGACAATTAGGTACATATATGACAAAAGTAACAAAGAGAGATGGTAGAATTTGAACAGTACTGATCCCTTGGGATCGGGTTTGAGAACCATTTGCGGCAGTTATACTCGGTAAGAAACCAGAGGTAGAAAGGGAAGAGAAAAGATTTTTATTACCGGTAACATAATCAGACGCACCCGAGTCGAGGACCCAAGGACCAAGAGGAGATGATTGAGAGATGCAAACAGATGAATTACCAGTGTGTGCAATCGAAGTCGTGGAATCAGAGGTCTGGTTAGTCTGACACCACCTGAGAAAATCTTCGTAGCTTGGCGTAGGGTTCTGAAGAGAAGGTGAAGTTTGCATAGTGTCTGGAGGTTTCCCATGCAACTTCCAGCAACGATCGATAGTATGTCCAAGCCGGTTACAATGGTCACACTTAGGACGAGGTTTGGAGTTGGATGACCCTCCTCGAAGGCGATTCTGATTGTTGCCAAGAGATGCAAGAGCAGCAGTGTCACCTGGTGTTGGAATAACAATAGATGAAGGAGAAACCAGGTCAAACGCATGAGGTGTAGCCAAGCGCAACAATTGTTCACTAACTGTATCATAGTTAGAAACAGTAGTACCTGATAAAATCTGGTTACGAACAGATTCGAATTCTGATGGTAGTCCTTTAAGTGTTATGACCATGAAATATTTACTCTGTTGTTCGACATGAGCTATTGCATCTTTTGCGTAAGGCACGAGTGTTGCGTAACTTGCTTTCAAGGCATCAAGCTTACTCAAATAAGCTTGTACATCCATATTTTCCAACTTCAGTGTGTTGAGTTTGTGGATGACACTGTATAGAGAATGAACGTCGTTGGAAGAGACTTTCTTGGCCTTTTGCCACACCTCATAACAAGTGGAGAATGCTTGGTACTGCGCTTGGAGGTTAGGTGCTATGGAAAACAACAACATAGTACACAAAGAGGCATCAGTTTTCTTTCATTTAGCGAGTTTGACGGCTGCAACGTCACTCAATTGGGTGGTTAGATGCTCTTCATATCCTTGACCGTGAAACCACATCTCGACAGCACGAGCCCATATGTTATAGTTGGCTGATCCGGTTAATTTTTCACATGGAATAAGCGGAACTTTAGTAAACGAGATAGAATCAACATCTCCCATGGCTTAAAACACAACAACTGGGGCTGTTTGAACAAACAAGAGTACGACTTTCTGTGAGTCGAAAACGAAAATCGAGGGCGGATCTGGAACCGGAGGAGGAAGGCGATTTTTCGAGAATTTTTTTTTCGTGAACAGTAGCGGCGCCAATGAACAGTGAACAGTGACAGCGGCGGTGAACAATAGTCCTCCGAAATTTTTTTTCCCGTGGACTGTGCTTGGCGGAGGTCGCTGAAAATTTAAAAAAAAAGAAGGTGAGGCAAACCGGAATGATGACACGGTTTGCAGAAGAAAATTTATCACCGGAAGACAGTGGGTCAACCGGGTAAAGCACGGCGAAGAATTGCCTCTTAGAAGGTTCTAGATACCACATTGAATTAGAAGAGACTAAAAGACATTTAGGTTAAACCATTTGTCATGAAAGCACTACAGAGACTTTATTATATTACACTATATAATCGATGTGAGACTATTCTACATACAAATATTCTTAACATTATATATTTACAAATATCAACAGATACAACTAATGATTAATCAATGTGAAGCAATCTTCAATTACAATCTTTACAAGTTCAATATACAGTTGTTATCAATAATTTGAAACTCTTGGTATATTATCTCCTCCTTTTTATCTGAAACTAACAACTTTGACACAAGCCATGAAAATCAAGAGTCATAGTATATCCCTATTCCCTATAACTAGGAACTACTGTTTATTTTGTTGAATTGGTTCATTGTCCAGTTGTTATCAATAATTTGAAACTCTTACTATTATCTCCTCCTTTTTATCTAGAACTAACAACTTCAGCACAAGCCATGAAAACGGTTTTTTATTTAAAGTAAGTGTTTTTTCTCCGAAATAATCTGTAACAAATTGATTCTTTGACATATTGGATTAATGTAATAAGTTTTCAAATTTCATACCTACATGTTATATGTTGTTATATCAAAGAAGGTTTCTCTCTAATCACAATAGGATCCATTTTTCAGACATTTGATCCCGAGGCTGTTGCCGAAGGTCAGAAGCGGATGAAAAAGCTATTCAAAGAGTAAGTCATTTCATTGTTTCTTTAATGCATAACTGCTAATAGTCCTGTTTGATCTCCAAGTTTAGTGTAATTGCTGCGTTCGGTGATACAATGTATCAGTGGAGTAATCTTTGCGGTGACTTGTGATGGCCTTAACTTAAAATCAACATTCAATGTTCAGTGTCTACTATTTTTTTTTTGAAACGGCGATTTGTTGTTAGTAATTAGTTTTTATGTTAGTATTTTATCTTTAACAGGGTTTGTACCAGGGTCCTCCAACTACGTTGAACCCTGTTCAGTGTCACCACTATTTTTGCCTCATTTTGATTCTGCTGTTATCATTAAATTGAAAATGGTGCTTCTGTAAACAATCAAATGAATTAGATATTTTAATATTTCTTTTGGTTAGACTTGTGAGTCATCGATATAATATTTGTTATGTATATATAAGAAATATGAATTGGTAAAGAACCTGTAGTTTAAGTATTAAATCAAACTTCATTAGTCTTTTGTTTCACTAAGTGTCCTTTTTATCTTTGCTGTTATCATTAATGCAGATATGGTGTGAGTCCTCTTTCGCCATTGAAGGGACTTTTTATTCAAGGTCCTGTCTTCATTAGTTTTTTTCTTGCGGTAAGCCGTCTGTTTCCTCGATATTCCCTCTACCTCTGGAAGTCTGAGTAGCATTTATATTGTTTCTACCCACTAACAATTTTATTTTGTATTCTTTGATGGCAGATAAATAACATGTCTGAAAAAATGCCATCATTCAAGCATGGTGGAGCTTTCTGGTTTACCGATCTCACAACTCCCGATGCCTTATACGTTTTTCCAGTTTTGGCTGCATTATCGTTCTTAGTAGTAGTAGAGGTGAGCACTTCATTTTCAGGAGCCCATTTTCCCCCAACCCCGACAATCTTTCTAGTTTGTCCTTCTGAGTTCTGTCTAAAAGTTTGTTTGATCTTACATTTTGTTTTTGAATTTTATTTCGTGTTCACTAAAACCAACCACTCTATATGACAAGAAAGCAGTTTAAAATTTAGATGACAAGAGTGGTCTGATAATATATTTGTTATATTTTGTGAAAAATAAGAATAATATTGTTTTGAATGTGCTTATAAGGCTTAATTTATAATCATGTAGTTATAACTTACTAGGATAATAAATAATAATTATGTGCAATTTACTAGAGAGGAATAAAATTAATACACCCTCCGGTCACTATTATAAGTAACAAAAACACTTTTTGGATTCATTGAATAAATGATGTATCTGGTCCTTATTATATATCAGATACATCAATTATTCAATGAACCTAATTTTTTTGTTGCTTATAATAGTGACCAGAAGGTGTACAATTTACCAAGATACATAGAACTTAGTATGCAATGAATTAACTACTTGAAAAATGTAGAATTAAATTATTTTAATTTTCAACACTCCCCTCAAGCTTGTGAATAGGTAAATCCTCATTCTCGGCTTGGACACAAATTTTTCTAAAATTAAGCAACTCAATTCTTTGGTGAAGACATCCGCAAGTTGACCTTGTGAAGGAACATAAGGAGTGCAAATCAAACCGCCATAAAGCTTCTCTTTGATAAAATATATATCCACCTCAATGTGTGTTGTTTGGTTGTTATGAACTGGATTGTGAGCTATACTAATTGCTGACTTATCATCACAAAAGAGATTCATAGGTCCATCCCATTTAATCTTCAAATCTTCAACCAAAGTAATTCACAAATACCTTATGCCATAGCTCGAAACTCAGCTTAAACACTAGATCGGGCCACAATATTCTGCTTTTTACTCCTCCAAGTTACAAGATTCTTCAAGTTACAAGATTTCCTCCGAGAAATGTACAATACCCTGTAGTTGACCTCTGATCAGTAGCTGAATCTGCATAATTAGCATCTGTATATGCCTTAAGAGTAGCACTTCCATTCTTTTTAAACAAAATCCCTTTTCCTAGAGTTCCCTTAAGATATTGTAAAATCTTGTGAGTTGCAAGTAAATGAACTTCCTTTGGATTGTGCATAAACTGACTAACCACATAACAACAAATGCAATGTCTGGCCTTGTGTGAGAAAGGTAAATTAATCTTCCAACCAAGGTAGTCAAGCACGGGATCTTAAGTAGGTTGGACAGCCTGTGAAAAATCGTAAAGCTAGGATCGTAGCACGACATTTAAGATCTTCCTGAAGGACAAAATGGTAAATTCACATGAACAAAAACATGAAAATTATAATACATGAAAAAAAATAACTTATAAATCACAACTTTCAACTAATTTGATTAATAATTCATAACCTTCATTCCATAATTTAATAAGCTTAAAAGATCAAGCTCAACTTAAGTAGCTCAAAAAACATAAATATAACAAATCAGTCTAATCATCTTCAACTATGAAAGGAACATCTAAATCATCTAAACAGATAAACAGGGCTTAACATTGTCCAACATTGTCCAACATTATTATCTTGATGTCATTTGGAACAGCTAAACAGGGCCTAACATTGTTTCTGGTTCCGGCCAAATGATGCTTCAAACGATACACCCTCACAGAACTTACACTTCACTTTTCTTGAAGCTGGATCAATTAAAACACAGCATTCCCAAGCTGGGTCGCTTTTTATTCCAAGAGAAGCCATTAAATAGGGAGAAGATAAACAAAAGTTTGACATTTTCAGGGAAAAGAGAATAGTAGGCGAAAACAGAATAGCACGGCGATATAAGTTAAAGATGGAGAGGATGAAGTGCAGAAGTTTTCGTGAAAAGATGAAGAGAATGAAGAGCAGAACTTTTCGTGAAGGGAATGAGAAGAGCGCCGCTTCTGTTCTATTTTGTTTTAGGGTTAGGAATGCAAGTTAAATAAAAACTGATTTTCACTTAAAAAACCTGACCCGGTTTAGAAGCCCAAAAAAAAGGCCCAACACTATTTTTTTTACGATCTTACTATAAAAACTCGATCTTGACTATGGCAGCATCCAAAAACGATCTTTTCCAGATCCTAGCACTAATTTCCCTCCCCAGCATGTAAGATCTTACGACCCAACACTCTTTTTTGACTACCTTGCTCCCAATCAATCTTTGATACATTTCCTTATCCACCACTGCACCTTCTTCCACATTACCTAACTTATGGCTTGGATCTATAGGACTTCCCACAGGATTACAAGCTAGCTTACATGTTTCTATGAGCAAATCTATGGTATACTTTTGTTGAGATATGAAAATACTTTTTTTGAGTGAGCCACCTTTATTCCTAAAAAATACTTCAACCTTCAAAGGTTTTTCATTTCAAACTCTTTTGCTAAATGTTGAGTCAAGACTTGTTGTTCCTTCCGATCGTTTCTAGTCTCAGATGTCATCAACATATACCAAGAACACTGAAATACCCCCTGAAGTAGAGGGCTTAATAAACAATGTATGATCTACATTATTTTGTTTGTACCCTAAGGCTGTCATAGCCTTAGTCAACCTTCCAAACCATGCATGAGGTGACTGTTTCAAACCGTATAATGTCTTTCGCAACTTACAAACTGAATTGACAACAATATTTTTCCCACATCCATGTGGAATCTCCATATAAATTTCTTCCTCAAGCTCTCTATATAAGAATGCATTTTTCACCTCAAATGGTTGTAACTCCCACCCGTAATTGGCAGCAAGGGATAATATAACTCGAACCGTATTCATCTTTGTCACAGGGGACAAAATGCCATTGATTTGTGTGAAACCTTTAGCAACCAGTCTTGCTTTGTACCTCCTAATTGTACAATCAGCCTTGGATTTTACTGTATATATCCCACTTGCAACCAACCGCTTTCTTCCTCCAGCAAAGCATGCCTCCAGCAAAACAAGTGTGTAGAGAACATCACTCCAAAATGATGCCATAAGTATAGTAGTAGCTGCCCTTTGTCCTTTCGCATCCTTGGCACACTTAGAACTTGCTTATTCTTCACAAGTGAACATCTCTCTGTAGACAAAGGAAATGGGTAGCAAACCTTGTCACTCCTTGTTTAACCAATTCAACATTGCCGGTAGTCTTTTTCATTAGATTCAAAGCAAAAGTATGGTTATAAATGTAGCCCACAACCTTAATCCCTTTTTGTATAACCTTGTGAACCTTTGGAATTTTGCCTATGTCTTCTACATAAGGTATATACACTGGGAAGCACATGGAGTCCAAAACATGTTTTGCCTCTTCAAACATAATGTTTTACCCGCCGCTACATAATTACTTCCATTGTCAGCAATCAATTGAACAACATTTTTTTCACCTATTTCCTCAATAAAAATGTCCAACAACTCAGCTAGCTTATCCCCCGTCTTGGCATAGTCAGAAGCATCGACACTTTTCATAAACATGGTTCTCGCTGACAATTGACCAAGAGCTTAATCAAGGTTCTTCCTTTTCTATCCGTCCAACCATCTGACATAATTGAACATTCATATTTGTTCCTTTCCACCTCATGGTTCTTCAACAACCCTTTTGTATATTCCAACTCATTTTGAAGGAGTGGAACCCTAAGTTCATGATAACTTGGCGGTTTCTAATGAGGACCATAGCTTCCAACGACTTCCAACATCAACTTAAAGGCTCTTGCATTTGTTATGTTAAAAGCAATTCCACACGTATAAACAAAGCAAGCAATATATGGGACGGTTTTTGCCCTCTCTTCTTTATCACACGTATCGTTGATGTTTGTGTCCTTAGTCTTCTTATAAACTAAATCTAATGGTCCTTTAGTCCTCTTGCGGCCATTGAAGAGGTCTTAGCAAGCCTCTTTCCAGTTCAAATTCTACTTATTTGTATCATCCACATCTAATTGCACTGAAACCTCTTGTATTCCTTTCTTAATCCTCTCTTTCTCAACCATGTCAGCACGCAATATAGCCTTAACATCCTCAGGTGTTTTCAAGCAAGGAGTTACATCACCCTGAATTCCTAGTTGATGCCTTTTTGTTCTACTTATTCCCCTACTACTTGTTACATTACAAATATCACATGTCACCTTCTTCTTGTTATTCAAATCCTTTCAATGATTATATTGCCATCCTGTGTCATTACTAGCGGTTGGTTTGAACGGTTCAGCACATGAAGCAACCGACGTAGAATTTGGTGTAGAAGAAGATGCTGCCATATTGTTCTAGAATAGAAAGATAAACGGAACTCAACCATAATACAGCAGAACATATAAGCTCAAAAGAAGTTGAAGTAGAACAGAGTAGAAGTAGAAAGAAACAAAACACACAGTAGAAGAAGTAGAAACAGAACATACAGTAGAAGAAGTAGAAGAGAAGTACTACTCCGTACCAATTTATAAGCAAAAATCTAATATTTCACACTTATTAAGAAAGTTTAAATTTGTGTCTTTTTTGAAATATGTTTTATGGAAAGATGTAAAAACAATTTTGATTGGTTGTTGTTTATGGAAAAAATGAGAGAGAAACTACATTAAATGCAATTTGCATTTAATTAACTTTGGAAAATATGAACTTTTTAGAATAAAATGGTTAAATGACATAAAGTTGATGTTTTTTTGCTTATAATTTGTTACAAGAAAAATGAGTTTTTTGCTTATAAACTGGTACAGAGGGAGTAGAAGAGAACATTACCTGAGAGTGAAGTAGCTAACAGCGGTGGAAGCAGAACGATGGAAACAGAACTTACATGTATAATAAATAATTATGTTCAATTTACAGGATAGAAATTAAACTAATACAATTTACCAAGATACACAGAACTTAGTATGCAATGAATTAACTATTTGGAAAATGTAAAATTAAATTATTTTAATTTTCTAACATATTTGATTTCCAATTAAGAATAAATTGATTTTATATTGTTCTTCAGTGTAATATGCAAGAAGGAATGGAAGGAAATCCTATGGGTGACACAATGAAAAAATTCTCGAGGATTCTTGCTTTTCTGACAGTTCCTTTCACCATGACTTTTCCAAAGGTAACTTTCCATTTGCTACCATTGGTGTATGCATTTGAAAAAAATTATTGTATTGATTTAGGAAGAAACTGTAGTTTTCTCTTTGATAGTTTCAGTAAAGGTAGGCACATGCACTATAGTTGGCTTATCTCTACATAATTTTTTTAATCTTGAAAGGACATGGTAAGATGGTAAGTTATTTTAGGCTATGTGATTTGACTAGCAACATTGTAAGTAGAATGGCATAAATCAGCACTGACATTAGATAGAGTGCATCCTAACAGTGTAGTGTATGATTCACGCACCTAAACTAGACTAGGTGTGTAAAGCTGAAAATATTGTATGTATTTACCAATGATGGATGTCAAAACAGTTATTGTCTTTATGTATTTTAGGAAGGTTTATATTTGCAGTAATTCTGTAACAGCTGTATATCTTGCTAATTATTAGGTTTATTTATTTAGGATCAATCCCATAATCACAAGGATTTGTTTCCTTAAAACTAGCTGTCCAATTCCCTAAAATAGACTACAAGCTCATGTATATATACAGGTCCAGTGACCTCATAATAAAATAACAACAATATTATTTATTCTAAATTTGATATGGTATCAGAGCTCCCGATCCTTGGGAGTCTCTGACCGTGCTTGTAAACCCTAAGTTGCAGCCTTCATTGCTGCACTACCTTTATACCTTGTCGCCGATTTCATTGCAGCGCAACCTTCTCTACCTTGATCGCACCTGGTCATGGCTGAGATTGTGGATCCTATTCTGGAAACTGGGGACAGATCCCAGACTGCCGGAGAATTGCAGAATGTTCATTCTGCTTATCGATTAAATGGGAAGAATTTTCTCAAATGGTCTCAACTTATTAGGACCATCTTGAAAGGAAAAGGAAAGGTCAGTCACCTAACTGATAGTGCACCTGATGAAACAGATCCCAACTTCAAATCATGGGAAGAAAAAGACTCCATGATCATGGCGTGGCTGTGGAATTCAATGGTCCCAGAAATTAGTGATACCTGCATGTTTCTTAAATCAACAAAGGAAATTTGGGAGGCAGTAGAACAAACGTATTCTAAGGCCAAGGATGCTGCCCAAATTTATGATGTAAAGGTGAAAACTGTGGCTGCCAAACAGGGAAGCAGATCTGTTACAGAATATGCTAATCAACTCAAGTCTCTATGGATGGAATTGGACCACTATCGAGTTATAAAAGCAAAATGTTCAGAAGACTCAGCAATCCTTAAGGAGTATATTGAACAAGATAGAGTCTATGATTTTTTGGTAGGCCTAAATCCTGAATATGACCAGGTCCGAATCCAAATCCTGGGAAAAGAGAAAGTCCCAGGGCTTAATGAAGTGGTAGCCATTATCCGGAGTGAAGAAAGCAGAAGAGGATTGATGCTCGAGACCTCAATAACTGAAAGTTCGGCAATGATAGCTGAAGGAGGAACAATCATGGTTGCTAACCAAAGGAGAAGCGGGGTTCCCAACATGGAGAAAAAACATGAGGATATCTGGTGTACCCACTGTAACAAGCCGCGTCACACAAGGGAGAAGTGCTGGAAATTACATGGGAAACCCCCAAGCCGAGAATGGGGGCCGAAAGGAGGTCCTCCCAAAAAAGGAGGGCAAGGGCAAGCACACATCAGTCATGGACAAAGTGAAGGATCTGGCCAGCTGAATCATGAAGAGATAGAGCGGGTAAGATCCTTCCTTAGTAAATTGGAGAAGCCTACAGGTACATGCTCCTTAACATATTCTGGTAAGTTTCCACTTTCTTTTGGGCTTAATGTTTCAGATACACCATTTACACATTACTGGATATTAGACTCTGGAGCCACTGACCATATGACCCCTCTACCCAAATATTTCTCCACATATTCCCCATGTCCTAGCAGCAAGAAAATTTCCACAGCAGATGGAACTCTTATGACTGCAGCAGGACAAGGAGAGGTCCAAATAAACCCATCCATAACATTAAAAAATGTCCTTCATGTCCCTAAATTATCCACCAATCTGATTTCTATACAAAAACTCACAAAAGATCTCTCCTGTAATGCTGTTTTTCATAACAACTCTTGTATACTGCAGGACAAGAACTCGGGGAAGACGATTGGACATGCTAGAGAATGGAATGGCCTATACTACATGGAGGATCCTAATCTGCCTACCAATAGCCGCTCTCTCATATCTGAATCCACCATGACCAACATAGAGAAAGTTCAACTATACCATTGCCGGCTAGGACACCCTTCATTTCGAGTTGTAAAAGTGCTTTTCCCTTTCTTGTTTAAAAATTTAAATGTGGAGAGTCTCCACTGTGATGTGTGTGAGTTTGCTAAACACAAGCGTGTACCTTTTCCCATTAGCAATAGGATGAGTCCTTGCCCATTTTTTCTTGTTCACACTGATGTATGGGGTCCTGCTTACGTTCCTAATAACTCAGGTGCTAAATGGTTTTTAACCTTCATAGATGATTGTACCCGGGTGACTTGGGTTTTTCTTTTAAAACAAAAATTTGAAGTTAGCTCTGTGTTTTTTCAGTTTGTCTCAATGATTAAAAATCAATTTGGGGTCGGTATCAAAAGAATTAGGTCTGATAATGCCAAGGATTATTTTAACCTTGTACTAAACTCTTTTTGCCAAAAGGAAGGGATAATCCATGAGTCCTCATGTGTAAACACACCCCAACAGAATGGATTGCAGAAAGGAAAAATGGGCACCTATTAGATCAAACTAGAGCTCTACTTTTTCAAAACCATGTTCCTAAGAGATTTTTGGGGGAAGCCCTTCTTACTGCCACCTATCTCATCAATAGGTTGCCCACTAAAATCTTAGACTCAAAAAGCCCCATGGAAGTCCTATCCTCATTCTACCCACACTTGGATCCTACAAATAAACTCCAACCTAGAATATTTGGGTGTGTATCCTTTGTGCATGTTCATAGTAACGAAAGGAGGAAATTGGACCCTAGGGCTGTCAAATGTGTATTCTTAGGGTACTCTACCACACAAAAAGGATACAAATGTTTTCACCCCCTATCAAAAAAATTCTATGTGTCAAGAGATGTCACCTTCAACGAACGAGAAAGCTACTTTGGGCAGCCTCATCTTCAGGGGGAGAATGTAAGAGAGGAAGATGAGACTCTCATGCTTCCAAATATGACATTTGGACCTGAAATTGGGACAAATGGCATTGCTGTCCCTGAAACTGAGAGAACAGCAGGACCTGCACTTGAACCAACAGCAGGACCTGCACTTGAACCAACAGCAGAACCTGCACCTACACCTGTACCTGAACCAACAGCAAGACCTGCACCTGAACCTGCACCTAATGGTGGAAAATTTGGGAAAAATCTGGTATATTCAAGGAGAGAAAAGGCCATTCTAGAATCTGGCAATGTCCAAGAGTCCAGCCCATCATCACTGCATGAGGTAACACTTCCGAATCCTATAAATTCCAATGATTCTAATGAGTTTGTTTTTGAAAATTTAGAAGCACAGATGGACCAAAATCTAGACCTACCCATTGCCCTTAGAAAGGGAACTAGAGCATCCACCCAACAACCACTTTACCCACTATCAAATTTCTTATCCTTTGAAAAATTCTCACCTACCCATAAAACCTTCCTCACAAACCTCAACTCCACACACACACCTTCCTCTGTATCTGAAGCATTATCTAATATGAAATGGAAACAAGCCATGGATGTGGAAATGGAGGCGTTAAGCAAGAATAGAACATGGGAACTTGTCACCCTACCAATTGGAAAAAAAACAGTAGGATGCAAGTGGGTATATACAGTAAAGTACAGGGCTGATGTGACCATTGAACGTTACAAGGCAAGATTAGTGGCCAAAGGCTTCACTCAAACCTATGGAATTGATTACTTGGAAACATTTTCCCCGGTTGCTAAGATGAACACGGTCAGAGTAATATTGTCATTAGCAGCAAATTATGGTTGGGACCTGCAACAGTTCGATGTGAAGAATGCTTTTTTACATGGAGACCTTGAAGAAGAAATATACATGGAGTTGCCCCCTGGTTACAATGGACAGGTTGCTGCTGGAACTGTTTGTAAGCTAAGAAAGGCTCTATATGGGCTGAAACAATCCCCAAGAGCGTGGTTTGGAAGATTCACCAAGGTTATGTTAGGTCTGGGCTACAAACAGAGCCAAGGGGATCACACATTATTTATCAAACATTCAGTTTCAGGGGGAGTAACAATTTTATTGGTGTACGTAGATGATATTATAGTAAGTGGGGATGACAAAAAGGAGCAACAAATGTTAAGTGAATGCCTTGCCACGGAATTCGAGATCAAGACATTAGGGAGACTTAAATATTTTTTGGGAATTGAAGTGGCCCATTCCAAGAAAGGAATCTTCATATCTCAACAAAAGTATATTACTGACTTGCTTAAAGAAACAGGTAAGACAGCCTGTAGACCAGCAAGTACCCCAGTTGATCCAAATATAAAGCTGGGAAGTGCGGAGGAGGATATTGCAGTGGACAAGGAAATGTATCAAAGACTTGTGGGAAGACTTATTTACTTATCTCACACTAGACCAGACATTGCTTTTGCTGTAAGTCTAGTCAGCCAATTTATGCACCAACCAAAGGAAGCACATTTACAAGCTGCTCTTAGAATTGTCCAGTATTTGAAAGGGACCCCAGGAAGAGGCATTTTGTTCAAACGAAACAAGAGTGTAAGTCTTGAAGCATATACGGATGCGGACTATGCGGGGTCAGTGGTAGATAGGAGATCAACTACTGGATACTGCACCTTCCTTGGTGGAAACCTCGTGACTTGGAAGAGCAAAAAACAGAGTGTAGTAGCTAGATCGAGCGCAGAAGCATAATTTCGAGCAATGGCCCAAGGAATATGTGAACTTCTATGGTTGAAGATTATATTGGAAGACTTGAAGATAAGATGGGATGAACCTATGAGGTTATATTGTGACAACAAATCTGCAATTAGTATAGCCCACAACCCGGTGCAGCATGATAGAACTAAACATATCGAGGTTGACAGACACTTCATCAAGGAAAAACTAGACAGTGGCATGATTTGCACACCATATGTATCCACTCAGAATCAACTTGCAGACATACTCACCAAGGGGCTGAACTGCAGTAACTTTGAAAGAATTATATCCAAGCTGGGAATGGAAAACACCTATTCACCAGCTTGAGGGGGAGTGTCAAAACAGTTATTGTCTTTATGTATTTTAGGAAGGTTTATATTTGCAGTAATTCTGTAACAGCTGTATATCTTGCTAATTATTAGGTTTATTTATTTAGGATCAATCCCATAATCACAAGGATTTGTTTCCTTAGAACTAGCTGTCCAATTCCCTAAAATAGACTACAAGCTCATGTATATATACAGGTCCAGTGACCTCATAATAAAATAACAACAATATTATTTATTCTAAATTTGATAATGGACATTCATTAGCATGACCCTTATCGTTATTCTAACTCAACCTTACAAAAACCGGTTTGGAAGGTGAAAATTGCCCCAACTTATAAAGTGGCGATACAGGCTGCTGCTTCATCTCCAACATATTTTTTCAATTTCTACGAGGATTTCTTTTCTTCTCTCTCTCACTGAATTCATTTTTTTATATCAAAATAATAGATCATAAAAATCAGAAATAAAGTTAGTTGATATTTTTTTTCAATGACATATGTTAGTGCTATGTTGTTGATGGGGATAGAACCGCCAACATCCTTATCACTCCGCTAAAACCACTAACCCAACTTTTATATCCCCTTCAATTTTTTAAACATGTTGGGAAACCTGGAGAATATTATCTATTGACTTGTAACACAATAACATTCTATTCCAGTCAGGGAACCTAGGAAATTGCTGTAGATATAAAAAGATTATTGATTACCCCTTTTCATTACACATTATAAATTAATGGTGTTTGGTTAATTGATTAAGAAAAAGTAGTGCTGTCCTAATTTATTATAACCACTGCTGCGTCTATTTGTCATTCTATGTAGCTTGAACTTGTGTTCATGTCTAATTTTGCAGGCAATATTTTGTTACTGGATTACATCGAATTTGTTTTCACTGACGTATGGAATGGGTAAGGAGTTTCAAATTTTTATTTGTAATACCATATTGTCACTATTTTTCATTTTGAAATTTCGATTTGTTTTTCATAAAATGCATATTGCCTAGGGCATTGATTCTGCCATTCATGATTGCTTTGAGCATAATATAATGCAAGTAATTGGAGAATCCATTACTCCTGAAAATGTTATTCTTTTTAATTGTTCACTTATGCACTCCTAGTTTTTCACATAAATGAATTTAGCGCACCTCACAATTATTATATTCCAATGCGACATTTTCGTAAAGTTTGCCAAGATTGCAACTTGCATAGTTGCAATTAGTATTTTATGCTCTCCAAAAACGTAATATCTATCTCTTTAGTATATCTTAGAATTTGGGTTGCGTATAACTCATCCCATGCAAAACCGACGTGTAAGGCTATGACTTCAAAGGCCATATCTCTAAGCAATGTGGGACTAATTCCACCCTCTCACATCCAACATGATGAAGGTGCTGGAGGCTGTAGTGAAAACAACCTAAAATGCCATATCTTTAAGCAATGTGGACAGTATGGAAATTTCCAACACCCCTCACGTTCAGCCCCGATGAACCTAAAACATGGACAACACAGGAAACCCAACAACAAATTTAGGATAGGCTTTGATATCATTTTGAAATTTGGACTGAGCCTAACTTATCCCTAGAAAACCGACTTGTAAATTAAGGACTGTCATAACCTTATAAACACTACACAAGTCATATCTTTAAACAGACTAAATCCACCCCCTTCACACCAAATACAGTTAAGGTGTTGGAAGCTGCAATGCCCCTATTAGGCCGCCAGGGACAGACCACACTAAAGGCAGAATTTCCATTGGTATAATTACTTATTCTCAACCATTGGACTTATTAGGCTGCTAGGGACAGACCGCACTAAAGGCAGAATTTCCATTGGTACAATTACTTATTCTCAACCGTTGGACTTATTAGAACACTTATGTCCATTCCTTGAGTCGATACTTATTATATTTATCTCTTTAGTGTGTGTTTGTTTGAAAGTTACGGCTCGTGTAGTGCTTATAAGGTATGGTACAACATGATCTTTTCAGTGCTACCTGATGAACTCTTGTATTTCGATATACTTGAATTTTTCTGATCCCTTTATGTTCTTTTGTTTCCAATTTTGCAGCACTTAAAGTTCCTGGTGTAAAGCAAACTTTAGGTATTCCTGATTTACCTGCTGCTCCAAAACCCACCAGTTCTCCGCAATCTTCCTTCTCTATATTATCAGCACTAAAGCAAGCTGCATCAGCTGCAAATGGTCAAAGCTCATTGCCTGTTGAAACACCAAAAGAACCAAACAAAAAAATACCTTCTTCTTCTTCTTCTTCTGCTGTTATTAGTCAGAGGCTTAGAAGCTTAGAGAAACAAGTAAAAGGAAGAAAGAAAAACAAGAAGTGATTAAATTTACTAGTTCCTTAATTATGCCATTAAACGTATGTAGCAAGTATGCTTAGATTTTTTTTGTCACATTGTATTACTATCCTCAGAAGGAGTGGAAATTAGGAGTTTAACTAAGATAGGGAGGGGGAGAGAATAAATCTTTTCAAAGGCTGGTGATCGATTTTGCTGAGGAAGCTAAAGCTTTTGGCTAACTATGGTTTACATTTATTTATTCATGATATATATGGATAAAATGCATGAAGGATTTAAACCGTGGGATACAAGCATAATTATTTTTATATGCTCAAAAATTTTAACAATGGAAATTTAGGGTGAGGGGATATGCCTCATTGAACCCTTTTTGTAGTTTCAAAGCCATTTATTTGTATATTAAAGTCGATTACTGCCGACCTAGAGCAACAATCCTCCTCTGAGAGAGGCCCTTGTTGTTTTGTTCTTTGTTCATCATTATTTCTTTGGATGATTATACGTTTGATGATGTATCAGTTGTTCTAACTCTTTTGGAGGCAATTGATAAATTTCAATGAAGTTTTTCCTTGAAAAATAGACGAGTCGGAGGTTGTTCAAACTCTTCTGAAGGCAATTGATGAATTTCAATGAAACTTTTCCTAAAAAAATTGAGGAGTTTAGAATGAGATTTTGAAATTGCGATAACGAAAGTTTTTTGTTTAATGATGGATAAATGTTTATAAAGATGAAGTAATGTTAATCAAGATAAAGAGAAATGCTCTTTCTATCTTTATAGCTTCTCCCACACCATTGTGAAAAGACTAAAATGTCATAAGCGTTTAAAATTGTATCTTTGGAAGCATCTGTTTCACACAACTGAAGTGAAAATGGTGAGAAATCTCTATTTTGTAAAAGATTGATCCAGAGATATATCTTTGTATGCACGAAAGGTTGATTTGGAGATGCATCTCCGTAACACCTCTTATTTCATGAGCTAGTGAGATACCTGATTTTCAGAATATGCTATGGTAGATTAAAGTAGAAACATGTAGAAACAACAATGGTAGAGTGAAATTGAACTAACATAAAGTAATTCTTAAATAAACATTACATAGATAAACATTACATAAATTTAATATTACATGTTATTAAAAATATGTAGTTCAGAACATTGCAAATTCTTATAATATTATTAAGTGATTTTTGAATCGTCACATCCACTTCAATTGGACCATTTGTTGAGTAACGGTAAAAAAAGTATTTCACATCACCTGTCTCTAATTCAAGCAATGCGAATTGTATCTTTCCTTCATTGTCTATCGAGGGTGAACGACACTTAAGCTTGACAACTCTCCGAAGTTCTGGATATTGCAGAAGAATATTCAGTTTAATTTTCAGATGGACGAGAAGTATGTCCTCGTAAGTTCAAAATTGAAGTGGGAGTATTGTGCCATTGAAATACACAAAAGCAAGATGGAGATATGCACATTTTGGTTTGTGTAAAGAAAATGGACTGAGAAACCCTATTTATAGAACTTATAGAGTAATAAGGACCTCACACACATGTTCAAGTTTGAATGAAATATTTCGGAGATACATCTCTAGATCCACCTTATTTTAAAAAAAATAAGAGTTGCTCCGGAGATGCAACTCTGAATGATCCCTGTATTTTTTAATTAATAAAAGGGATCCAGAGATGCATCTCCGGATCACTTTCCATTCGGTCATGATAAATATATTTGACTTCTCACCCTCCTATACACCACCATCATCGAAACGAAGTCGGGTCCAATGAGTGCAAACTTCGTCCATACGTATTGGTTTTTTATGCTTCAGCTTCTTTAAAATTAAACGAGCACATGGAAGACTAAGCTTTCTAAGTGTACATTCACACTTTGAGCTATCAGAATCAATTTTATTCGCTCGTTTGACTTCGTGAAAAATAAAATTCAACTTCGTCTGAGATACCTTGTCAACCAGCTGTAGGTAAATAATGTTGTCTTTGAATCGATGTTTTAACACAATAATGTTTCATCCAAAAGACGTGTGTATCTCATTATGTTGGTTTTGGAGCATTTGGTTCACAACGTCTCAATCTCGATAAAAATCATCTTTACTGTTTCTCAACCAATTCTTAACTCTAGCATTAGCACGTGTGGATTCAACTCTTTTAATTATTGTATTGCCAAAGTGACGAACCTGATCGGCCCATGCACAAACAATATTCTGTTTAACCTGATCCAGAATCGTGACCTCGACATATTTCAACAAATATGAACATATCGCACACACACTCTTGAAATTTAGAACAAATTTGGCATATAATTCTTCCGTGGAAGAATTTATTATACCATTTCATACATCCATCATTATTTCAACAACCACGTCAGGTTTGACAACTTTATCATCTTTACCTTTGACTTGTTTCGTATCAATTGCATGTTCTACTTCACTTATCATATTTTTGGTTATGTGATACTTACAAAGTAATGTGGAAGAAGTAGTAAAAACTGTTGCAACCGAATTCATCAGTACAATATCGCGGTCGATGATTATGACTTGTGGAATGTTGTTTTTGTCCTTCAACATACTCTTGTATATTTCTAAATCCCATGTAATGTTCTCCTCTTTTTCGAATTCTAAAAATAAAAAACCGACTAAATAAGTCATCTTCATAGAAGTGACACCAAATTTTTTTAAGAGTGTAAGTCTACACTTGTTTGTTTGTATGTTGAGTCAATTATGAGCATAGAGGGAAATGTGTTAAACAAATTCATAGAATCGGGGTGGCTCTAAAATATATCTCGAACGGTGACTTTATCATCACAAATTTTGTACCTCGAAACATAGTCGTCATCTTCCAAAAAAACTTCAACAGTTGTTGCATCTCATATCTTGGTCCTATTATCGCCTTGCTATATCGAGCACGGACATTGTATATTTGCTTGATATTTGAAACTTTTAGAGGTATTTTCCATTTCAAAGACGTGAGTATGTTTTTCGACGCCACCATGTTTAATGTCATGTCTGAAACAAGTTCCCCCTCATCTAGGACAGGGCGACATACAATGGGATGACCGTCTAGCATGTTATCTAATCCTTGATTATGCATACTGGAAATCACATTAAATTTCTATATCTCATCCTCCATACGGTACTCGCGCAATTTAAATAGACACTCACATTTCCTCGTTCCTGTGTTATCCCGTTTAGACTTCCTAATCTTTGGTTGGTATGTGCCATTTTTTTTGCATACCATTGTTACAAATGCTTGTCTTTTATCCGAACCATTATTGTACCTTCCAATTATAACACCAAAACCTAATTTTCCGGTTTTCCTACAGATCCATTGTAGCATATGTTCTCGAATAAAAACACTTCTTTATTTGTAAATTATGCACGAACATCTACCTCTATAATGGACGGTTGAGCATCCAGTTTAACATCATCATTCACTTCTTCTGGTTGAACGTCATCATTCACTTTATCCGGTCTAACATCATTCTTCACTTCGACTGATTTAACATCCACACTTACAATAGCTTTGAGAAACATATTCGGGTGCACCATATCTATTACCACCAAAAGCAGAAAAACAGTGTGAAAATTCAGACTATTAGGACAATCTAGAGATGCACTTCCATACCATATATAAATTTGTCCGAAGATGCATATCCGGACTCAACGATCATTTTCAGCTTCAAAAATGAATTAATGCAAAGAATGAGGGATTAAAAGAATGATTCATACATGTAATTCCAATTTATTTTGCTCCCTTTAAAGTGATGAAATATAAGAATGGTATTTTAGTTTTGAAAAGATGATTGAGAATGAGAGAGTTTTTTTCATTTTTTTTGTTGCAATGGTTGCTTGTTTTATCATGAAGAAGAAGCTCAAGCAATGTGGTATTTTATCAATATTACTGCTGGGCATTTTCGAAAATGTATCTTCAGAAATATGACGTAGTTGTTTTTTAAATCAGTTGCGTGAATAACAAAACCCCATAAATTAGTGTAGGGGGTGTTTCTGAGATGCATCTTCGAATACGCTCAAGCAGTATATGGAAACGCATCTTCGAACTATTTTTTTCAAAATTAGGGTGAAACTCATAAAAGAGAGGATTGACATGGTGTTGAGTGCGCCAAGAGATACATTTCTAGACATTTGAAGGGTAAAATCGAATTTTCAAAAGTGTGGTATGCTTTCATATGGGTGGGAAGAAAATTTCGTAAGTGCGTGTGGTGTGCTAATAGAGAAGTAATTTTGGAGTTATTGAATAGGTTAGAAAAGTTAAAAGGGAATTAAAATGGGGAAGAAAACATGACGAGGTTGGAAAATGAGGAGTTTTGAGAGATAAGTTTGTGTTTTTAAAATTATGTGAGATTTGTAACACAGTGTTAATGAAAGAGTAAAAGGATATGAGAGTGTGTTGATGAGATATTAATTTTGCAATTATTGATTGTTTATGGAGATTAGGGAAGTTGGAAGGAAATGTAGAAGAAAACAAGATGAGATTGAAAGTTGAGAGTCGAGGGAGACAACTTTGTGTTTTTAAAAATATATTGGGATCAGCAATATGGCCAAATGGTTTTTGATTTTCTTTCTGTTTTGTAAACAGACTCCGACATTGACATTACAACACGACATGGATAAGGACATTCCGACACTGGTAAGTCAAAAATCTAGGACATCAACACCATTATATATATCATAGTATTTGAGTTTTATTTATTAATCTAATATTAAAAGAGTTAAAAATATTCTAATGAAAATTTATATTTTAAATTTTTCATTGATAACATTGTTTCAATATATGTTTAACCCTTTTAATCATGCGAGAGGTTTGTCTAGAAAATATATAAAGTGTGTAGAGGAATAGAAAAACACAATTTTTAAGAGAGCTTATATGAATTATCAGACTCATGTTGTATGAGTGTGTTTACTGTGGAAAATGGTAAACAACCGCTGGTCCTCCCAGATTCCTAAACTGAGGGTAACTTGCGAAATCAACCAGTTGATCTTAAGACACATGCTAAGAGTTTTTGCTA